AGAGTGTTAGTGTGGTAACGGTCCTCACCACACGCGCTGCCGACGGCGCGTGCCTATTGTGCGCCTTAAGCAACGTGATATTCTCCCTGCCTTTATAAAACATCGAATAAACTTTCGCACAAATCAATCAACAAAACAAAATTCTGGATCACATAAACTTCAAATTTTATTTAAAAACAAAAAATAGTTGATAATACAATATCGAAACAAAAGAATATAAAAAAAATCAAAATAGCATAGTATAAATATTTTTTTTTGTGAAAAAGAAAATCTATGATAGCAACATGTCCTAAAAAATAAAATAAATTACGATTTATTTTTTATGGAAATTATGAGTTTGAATTTTTTTTAGTTTTAAAATTAAATAACGGATAAAAAAGAAGAAATGTTGATATATTTATTTTGTTTAGGAAATCACATGCGTTGGTGTAATGTGGTCATGAATGAGCGTGTACGAGACGCGCGTTGGTGAGAGTGGAGATGAGGAGGTAAGGAAGGCGTAGGATCATGGAGATTCGGTGCACCGACGCGTGGGTGATCAGAATAGGTCAAATGGTCAAACTTAGATCGCGATATCACAACCGTCCATAGTTACGACATCAGTCAACCTATCTGACGGTTAGATGACCATTCCTTCTCATTTAACTGATCTACACCGTAGGTTATATAGTACCATCATTTTTAATACTTCTTTAATTTAAAAACGAAATTATAATTTTACTCTCTTCGTCTTCTTCCATATAATGGTTTTGGAGTGAATTTTTTTTTTATTATAACTCGATGGTATATATACCAACTTATAAAAACAAATCTCTAAATACACAAAATTTAAAATTTCTAAGAAATATACGGACTTTTATTATTATTACATTAAAACTAAACTTTAAAAAAATCTCAAAAATCATCATATCATAATGGTATTTGGAAATATTTTAAAAATTTATGATTTAATTTTATAACATTTATTTAGAATCATTTAAAAATTCATAATTTATCTTTATTATTTTTTAAAAAGTGGAGGGTTTAGCATGGATATTGGAAACAATTCATATATTTATTTGAGAATTTAAAATTTTATATATTTATTTGATTTTTTTTTTTACAATCGTGTATATGATTTCTCCTTAAAATTATAGAACTTGAATATAAAAAATCTAAAAACTCCCATACAAAATCTTGTTTTAGTATTTTATGTCATACGTATCCATATATAGATACGTATCTATGTATATAAATGTATATATGTGTGTGTGTGAGAGAGAGAAAGACAGAGATTCCAGTGGTATTTTAGCCTATGCATATATGGGACAAGACCTAACCGATAAGATACATAAGTTATTTATTACCTAACTGGTCGTGGTTCGATTAAGCATCTAAGATGTTCGTTTTCTTTACTATAATTAATGAAGATATTAAACGCAAACTTTGGGTGCTTATTCTTAATATAAAACTAGAAAATGAATATATTAAATATATAATCCCAATAGAATATCCTTTAATAAACTCATAAGCAATGCCATTTCCTCATAATTTTTATACATAAAAAAAAATTACAGATACTATTGCATGTAGGGATTCTAATTTCTATGATATAACATAAACAAAATTTAATAAGTTTTAGAAAAGTGTTATGATTTTTCTTCATGCTTTAGGCAAATCAAATCCAATTTTAATATGAGGCCATATCATTGATAAAAATTGCTCGGTGTTATCACAAGGCATCAAATATATTATGCAAGAATAAATCCAATATTAAAAAACTAAGAAAAGTATATAAATATTTAATTTGACAGCAAAACTCAAAACCGAAAGCGCCCATGGGATGGGAGGCATGGGATATGGTTTTTGGTCGTTGGTTTACTTTGAATGAGTTAGAGCTGGTTTTGTCCAAATGGGTTCTTTATTCTCACCAGAACTTTAGTGGCATTACTACAAAATGCTTAGAATTAACCTTTTACGTATAATGTGTTAATCGAAGCTAAAATTACATTTTAAAAATCTTTGTAACAAAAATATTTTATATTATAAATAGATCATTGAATCCAGAGTTCAAGAATATTCAAAAGCACTTGAATATTCAATGGGGGGACGTAATTTCTTGTTCATGAAGGAGACAAATATAGTGTGTACTCAATTGCTCATCAGCAAGAGGCAAGAGAAATCAAACCGGTAAATCCGGTCTAGCCTATGAATATTAAACCGATATGACAATACCGGGAGTCCAAGATTTGTGGTTTGGGATCTAAGTATGATGTGTACAACATGAAAAATGGTATATATATCAACCAAGAACATCAAAACATTCATAAAAATTAGTCAAGAACACGAGTAGAGACTCTAGAGAGAGACTGTAACCCGAGAAATTGTGGTAGAACCGGTGCATATTGCCATGATAGCAATATTCCTGCAGACAACAAAAGATGGGAAGTACAAAAACATGTATAGATACATGCATACATATATACATACATATATCCATATGGCATATGCACAATGAGATGGGGTAAAGTTCAGTGAATTCAAACAAAGGAAAAGGCTTTCCTTGTGAAAAACAAAAGAGAATCCACAATCCTTAGGATACAAGCGAACATGGTTTGACTGATACAAAATCTGGAGAATTATGCAAAAACCAAAACTTGATCACATGGTGATGGCTGTATGGACTGAACTTGGACTTTTCTAATTGTCCCTTGAGCTTTTCAAGGCACATTCTCATAATTATTATTAATATTACCATCATTCTTTTTTTTTTTTACTTTGGCTATAATCTAATAGTTAAAAACTTAAAATATTAACACTACTATTGTTTTGCCTCCAAGTAGGCAACTATACCTTCTCCTCCTAACCCAAGTGATGGTCTAGAAAGAGAGTCTTCTTGCCTGTGTGGTGGGGTTGGGATCTCATCTTGTGCCTATAAATACTCTTTTCATGTTTCAGAGCTTCTCACAAAATCAGTGTGCCAGAAAAAAAAATATATGGTTTTTGCGAAAGAAAGAGAGATGGAGATCCCAGTTATTGATTTCGGGGAGCTTGATGGAGAGAATAGAACCAAGACCATGGCCCTTCTCGACCATGCTTGTGAGAAGTGGGGCTGCTTCATGGTGTGTATATCTACCTATATGCGCATACAAGTGTTTCTAAGATATGTATATGCACCTATACACGCATCTATATATGTTATATTCCTAGATTCTATTCTAGCACAGTGTACTTCATGTTAAGAGGTTCTGCAAAAGCTGTTTTCTCTCTAATGGTGCTACCACTTCATAGCTCTATGCAGTGTTTTAATGGGGATACTGTCTGATATTGCAGGTTGATAATCATGGGATAGATAAAAAGTTGATGGAGAAAGTGAAGCAACTGATTAATTCCCACTATGAGGAGCATCTGAAGGAGAAGTTTTACCAGTCAGAGATAGTCAAGGCATTGAGCCAAGGAAAAAGCTCGGATGCAGACTGGGAAAGCACCTTCTTCATCTGGCATAAGCCGTTGTCTAACATCTGTGAGATCCCAAACATTTCAGAGGAACTCTGGTAAGCACTTAGTGACAAAAAGTTTGAGAAACCAAGCTATGTATTCATGTTATTATTATTACCTGTTTACTCATTGATGATGTGGAAACTCGCAGCAAAACAATGGATGAATATGTTTCTCAGCTGCACAAGTTTGCAGAGAAGCTCTCCAAGCTCATGTGCGAGAATCTTGGTCTAGATGAAGATTACATAATGAAGGCATTCCATGGTTCAAAAGGCCCATCTTTCGGTACAAAAGTGGCGAAATACCCTGAATGCCCTCATCCTGAGCTCGTTCGAGGACTCCGAGAACACACGGATGCAGGGGGTATTATATCTCTCCTGCAGGATGACGAGGTCCCTGGCCTTGAATTCCTGAAAGACGGTAACTGGGTGCCAATCCCGCCATCAAAGAACAATACTTTATTTGTTAACACTGGTGACCAAGTGGAAATCCTGAGCAATGGAAGGTACAAGAGTTTCATACATCGTGTAATGACGGTAAAGAAGGGTAGCAGACTGTCGATTGCAACTTTCTATAATCCTGCTGGTGATGCCATTATATCTCCTGCTCCGAAGCTCCTATATCCGAGTAGCTTCCGTTTCCAAGATTACCTAAAACTTTACTCCAGCACCAAGTTTGGTAATAAGGGCTCCAGATTTGAGACCATGAAGAAGCTGGAAAACGGGCTCTAGGGACAGGAACATCTGCCACTTTCATACTATGTATTACCCATAAGTTTCTCCTGTTCCTTGGGCCTTCTTCTTGTGTTTCCCTCATAAAGCAAAGACATGTCAGGGATAGTGCTAATTCCCAGTTACTGCTTTGCCAAAACAGTGATAACCACGCCTTTAATACATCAGTCACCGTATTTTGTTCTATCAAAAGAGAATTGTCTGTAGAACACCTTCAAATCAGTAACTTATGCTCACCCTGATAGAGATATTCGCCAAAAACATGGAAATGATTTCCACCAGCTACACAACCCCAAACAATGTTGTGAGAGAAGGCGAGAATGCCCATATCAAGAGAGAAGAGGAAAGTATGATGGACTGTCGGCTCAGACACTAGGGCTACAAAGCACTGAGTTTCGATGAGATAGATTTGGTAACAAGACTGTTTGTGCAATCAACAGTTTCACTTAGTAAATCCTTATGAGCCTTTAACATTGGAGCACATTTGGCAACAAAATGTAACAAGAAGTTTCCAAATTTTATAGATTTGGGAAACCTTTCAGCCGATTCTCGGGCCTTCAAAACAAGATGATCAACAGAATCTTGACTTAGTGGGACGCCGTGGATCAATATGTTCTGGAAAAGGTTAAACAGTGATTCATTCCATGTAACTTCCTCGCATATCAGATTCTGGTGGCAAGGGAGGGAAAGCAACCTCCTGTCTTCAGGTCCCCCACATAGTAACTTCTGACAAAAGGCAGAAATATGACCCAAGTGCCAGCATTCCTTTAAAACCCTAGAAATAACCTCGCACATGAAATTATTGATTCCTTCTTTACGGAATATCAAAGGGAATACCAACGCATATTCAGCAGCTGTTCGGTGGATCTTGCAGAAATCAATGGTTGCAGACATCACTGCACGAGAGGCAGATTTCTCAAGAACCAAAAACTTGGGAAGGACCACCGAGCAAAGAACCTGGCTTGGCCAACCAAGCTCTTCTTCTTCTTCAGTTCCACTCGGCAAATATGACAGGAAAAGAGAAGCAGACTCATCGTCTGCATTCCAAGGTTCAATCAAACTTAAAATTCCTAAAACGTCCCTGCCATTCTCCAAGCAAAGCTTCCGAATTTCATAACACAAGGCTGAAATTTCCGGACTAGACTCGGAGCTTGCAATCTGAGATTTCAGATTGGAGGCCATTTCATGAACTTCAGGCGGTATAGTCAAGTTTCTAGGATACTCATAAGCTTCAACATCGCCCATGGTTTCTCTATAATCTTCTTCCATATTCTCTCTGCTGCAATCAGTCTCCTTTTCATTCTCAGAGTCAACAAATAACATCTTTGAATCGAAATCGTCAAGCGATATCGGAAGCCAAGGAAGAACAGAACCAATGGCTCCTGCCTTCTCGGCAAGCCAGCCAGGTACAGAGTCGAATTCATCACTGATGCTATCATCCACCGAATCCAAATCCAGATGAGAAATCCACTCGTAACTTGGTTTCGACATTTTACCGAGCAGGTTACGTGCAGCACTCTGAACCCAGAAGTTGACCTCTTTGCTTCCACTCAACATCTCCCTCGCTAAGCACGACAAGTCCCTGGGACAAAACCTCTGATGTTCTGACAGAAGAAAAGATAGAATCCGTGATTGAACCATGCTGGGTAACGTCTCAATGAACATAACCCTACAAAAGCATTTCATCAGTAAATCAACTGCTCACGAAAAACGAATACAAGAGGTTCAGTTTTCGAATTGGGTCATTAGACTCCTTACTTCTTCGTAATTTGGGATGAACCCTGGTCGATCACGTCGCATGGTCTCTTGAGCAAGGAGAAAAACGAGCTCCGGTTGATCGGCGACGCCATTGAAGACGACGAAGAATTGAAAGCTTGATCTAACCACAACGACGCCTCGGCTTCCGGCGCCGGACTCTTCAAGAAAATGTCGAACAGCGGAATCCACTTCTCCATGAAACGTATTTCCCTGTTTCAAAACACGAGGGATTCTCTCGGCAAAACGCGGGAAAAGCAACGTTAACGACGATTATCAATCAAAGTCGTCGCTGCTAAGGCTACCGTCGACAATCAAACCTATAAAGCTACTGAAGCGTGCGAGTCACGCGCCAAACGCGCGAGTGGGCGAAAGAAACGGGATTTTTGGAGTTCCATCTGGTTTCTCAAGTCTTGTTTGGGCTTTTGAGGATCAAAATTAGACCCAATAAACGGCCCAATATGTATTACGTCTACGGTTGCATATTGATAGGAGTGCTACCATACGCAACAAAAAAAATGCAAAATGTTTTCAAGAATCAAAACTAACAAATCATAATAACTCATCTCGTATTTCTCTCATATGTTTATTAAAGTATGCGCATTTTTCAAATTATATTTTATATATTATATATAATATTTAACATTTTTATGTATGTGTGTACATGATCCTTGAATTTGTACGTCCTCATATTTGTTATGAAATAAAAGATAAAAGTGTGGATACAACTGTAATATGTGAATAGAGCGTTTTTGTCGTATTTGTGTGTGATTAGGTATGACGTAAAAATCATGTTTTGTCTCCTTCTTAAGATCGTTTTGTTTTAAGTACCAATTATTGTGAGGCCACTAACTATCTTATGAACCCATTGACCACCACCTCCTTTTTTTTTTCCGGAACGATTATAATTTAAGTTTTTTAAAATTTTGAGACACCATGCTTTCTGGTCCGTTGACGTAATAACATTCATATATTATTATTATGAGTTCTTTTAAATTTTGAATATAAAATTTATAATAAAATAAAGAAAATTGTGGAATTTCGTGACGTGTGGGAAATTACTTGGTAAGTACCTTTGGTCCTTCCATATATTCGGTCATATAACAGTGGTAATAATGATTTAAAAATTATTAAATTAACCCATTAATTTATTAGCATCTCTCTCAAGCACAGTCCCGCGTATAAATACTTGGCCACAGCATCTTCTGCCTCATCGTCCTCGGTTTTCGAACCATCCTCCGACCCGACCCGACCCGACCAGGCCCGACTGGATTCTAATGGATCGACCGAAATTCGTTATCCAACCCGAAGAAGCCGAAACCGCCGCGAAGCGACTCGGCGTCTCCGTTGTTGAGCTCCTCCCGTCGCTAGTGAAGCCGGCGAAGTCCCTGGCTCGACCTCCGATCTCCAACTTCCACGTCGCCGCCATCGGGCTTGGCTCCTCCGGCCGGATTTTCGTCGGCGTCAATGTCGAGTTCCCCGGTCTCCCTCTCCACCACTCCATCCACGCTGAGCAGTTCCTTGTCACCAACCTCTCCCTCTCCGGCGAGAAATGCCTGCGCTACGTCGCCGTGTCAGCCGCCCCCTGCGGCCATTGCCGCCAGTTCCTCCAGGAGGTTCCCGACGCTCCCGACATCAAAATCCTCATCACCGATTCCAACGCGCTCCCCTCACGCGCCGCTGGCGACGGAGATGAATTCGAGCGGCTGTCGAGTCTTCTTCCCCACAGATTCGGCCCTGACGATCTCCTGGAGAAGGACGTGCCTCTCCTCCTCGAGCCGCACGATAACCGCCTGACGATTCCGGATATCGACCTTGATTGCCACCGAGATGGCGAGATCTGCAACGGCGGAGCGGATTCCGGTCACGGAACTCGATCGGAGATGATGCGCGTGGCCCTAGAGGCGGCGAACAGGTCGTACGCACCGTACAGTGGGTGTCCGTCGGGAGTGGCGGTGGTGGATTGCGACGGGGGGGTTTTCAGGGGATGGTACATGGAATCGGCGGCGTATAACCCTAGTTTGGGGCCGGTACAGGCGGCGATGGTGGATTATGTGGCCAACGGCGGCGGTGGAGGCTACGAGAGGATCGTCGGAGCTGTGCTGGTCGAGAAAGAGGGCGCGGTGGTCCGGCAAGAGCACACGGCGAGGCTTCTCTTGCAGACGATCTCGCCCAAGTGCGACTTCCAGGTCTTCCATTGCCGTGCGGGGTAAGAAATCCTGAGAATCTGAATCTTGTGTTCATAGACTTGAATTCGTAATCCATGAAATTGCAGCTTGCCTGCTTCTTGAATGATGATGGCCATGATGATGATGATGATGATGACGACTACGATAAAAATGGGGGTGATGACCCAAAGGGCGGTGGGAATAAATAAATAAGTCTCTCTTGGTCTTTGTTATTGTATTTTGGATAATTATTTAATCATTGTTTCACAATCCCGTGTTAATACAAAGTTAAAGCTTCTACCTTTTTTATCATTTTTAGTCTTCTGCTTGTTGAATTGAAGATTAGATTAGATTTGAAATCATGTTATCACAGCTCAACAGTTGTTCCAATGGCAACAGTAGTTGTCTGCATAATAAGAAAACTAAAGTTTTGGAACATTTGATCTGCAAAACAAAAGCCAATAAAAAGTGTTGGATGCCCTTTAAGCATTGGGTTGGTGAGATGAATCTCTCTCTCTCTCCATTGGGGAGAAAAAAAAAGGAGTGGACTTTACCAAAAAAGCAGAGTATGAGACTGGTCCACAAGCAGCTCTCTCATTATGAGTGGTGAAAGTTGCTTGTTCATGCATGCCTCATGCACTTTCCACCCAACAACTTCCTAATTCTGGAATATTTGGAAACTTCTGATTGATTTGACCTCCCAACTTATGAGCTTCATTGCACAAACTCCATTGATTTTTTTCTCATCTGAGGGTGAGAATCCAATCATGAAAGTTAAACTCTGAAATTTTGAGATGCTCCTTCTCTGCCCCCAAACAGTCTTAAGAAAAGGAGAGATTTTGAGATAGTGGGTTTGCTTAAAGATTGAGACTTTATTGAACACAAGAGTCAGACACTTCTTTTGTGCTGTTCATGTCTTTGTACTGCTTTCTCTTCAAGGTTCAATGTCTGCCACTTCTTCTGTTCTGTTTTGTTCTTTTCCCCCCTTCTAGATAAAGACAGTGAAACTGCCCTCTATGTCACATAGTTCGTGACTTTTTCAACACATCAACATCCTGCGTTGATTGCAGAGAGCAATGGAGTTTACTTGCAATTATGCAGATGCGACCCGCAGATGATGACGTTGGGAACTGATGCAGATGGATTCGAATGTTTGTAAATTTGATACTAGCAGTCAGTCAGCACCATCTACAATGGCCGCAAACAGTTGAACTCCTCAAAAGATGAAAAATTTACAAAGAAAAAGTTCAGAAGAGAAGAGACACATTGCCTAATTTGTTAAGAGAAAGAAGCAAGCGATGAAGCTCCTTTGCTGCTTACGGCCTCTTCATCATCTTCCGCCATAAACAAAGGCTCCTTATTCCTACACACGCTGTGAACCAGAATGATAGGGGAAACAGCCAAAAACCCAACAAGAACACCATGGAAAACATCTGTTACCAAAAACATGCAGATGGTGAGAATAAACAGAACCATCTTCACAGTAGAATCATTGATCATACGGCCAAAAATCATCAAGGGTTCGTTATCCCGGAAGTACAAGAACAGCCACAAAATTATCAAGACAAGGAAGATGATCAAGCTGACAGGTTGCCAGAGCAAGCTAATGAAGAGTGCAATGGAGGTAATGATTGTGTAATTGACCCGGAAGAACAGAATGTTGGCCTTGATTCTATCTGTGGCTTCCCCGAATGAGGTAGGAAGGCCAAAGGCATCACATTGAATCAGCTCAAGCCATGGCCTTCCAGACCCAAGGCATAGCAAGATCTGTTCTTTAGCTCGTCCCAGTAGGCTCAGGCTCGAAGATGCCTGTGCCTGAGTGGATATGGTGCCATATGTTGTCATTGATCTTTCACCATCAAAAGAAAAAAGACAAAGTCAAGAACAAAAAAGAAAAAAAAACAGAACTTTATGAAAGTGATGAATATGGAGAAGAATGTGAAGGTACCTAATTTGAAAGAGTAAACAAGAGAAGCTGATGCAGAACAATGGTTTTAAGGTAGTTTGTTTACATCTCCTTTTTTGGAAATGTTTTATTTCAGGACACCATAAGAGAGGCATTTCCTGAGTCCTGTCAGTTACAACATGCTAATAATAGAAACCACAAAATTTTCAGAGCAATGGATACCCTTAAATTTCTCACAACAGAACCTTAACATTGTAAAGAAACAAGAAAATCCAACTCTCAAAAGAGTAAGTAGACATTATAAGCTACAAGGACAACTCAAATCTAGAACAAGTTTTATATAGCACCGGTTTTCTGTGATATACACCAGCGAATCATCATAACACCGTATCAAGCAGCACATCCAGTCCGAGAAATACTTTGACGATATTCTCCGATAAGACAACTTATCACATTCACTGGTTCGTTGGTTTGTCTGGAGCCAAAGCCTCACCACGAAAGACCCTCCAAGGTCCCCGATAGAATTTTGGCTTCATCAAAGGCACTGTCTCACCTGGGTGATCTTCCCAATATTTCTCCTGTTAATTTGTCACGATGTATCTGAATAAAGAGAGATTTACCAAAAGAAAAAAGAAAGAAGAAGAACTCGCAGCTAGGACACCGTTACTTCTTGTATTGATGTTTTTGCCTCCCTAGATGACGAACTGCTAAAATGCATCAATAAGACATATGGGGGAGAAAGGCTTGAACACTAATACCTGAGAAGGCTGTGACGTGAAGATTCGTCAAATTCAAGATGAAATTGCTAGAAAGCAATCAAGGGCATTACGCCTATTCATTCATGATCTTGCCGAAAAATCCGGGGATGGGAATTCATGACTAAATTTTGTTTTATAGTATATCTCAATTCAGCTTTCTCAAACCATGTCAGTAGTGATCACAGGGAATCTCTTCTCAAATGGTTCTGGAAAGAATAAAAAAAAGCACTGGTCTTTGGAGCTTACATGTAATCAGAATCTCCAGACAAGACAACAGCAGCTACATGATAAATCAGGAGCAAGACGACAGAACAGAATTGTTCAAAAGGAAGAGGAAGATCCGACGCAGAACCGGCACGGTTTCCAGTAAGTTATTCTCCAACAAGGTTTAAGAACGAATCCACGCAACGAACAATCCCTTTAAACCCATAAATTTTCTTCGTTTAAGAATCGAAAAACATCACAAGAAATGCCAGTAATCTCAAGGACTGAGAGTAACTGAGTTCGAACCCTAACGGTACCAATCGCGAGAACCCAAATCGGATTTAGTCCAATCAGATTAAGAACCCACAAATCTAAATATTGATACGAGCCAAAGCAACAAAATTTAAGAGAAAAAGGGTCACCTTGTAGAGCTGCTCAGTAATGGCGGCGCCGATGACGCCTGTATAAAAAGCGGCGACGTAAAGAGTGATCAAAGTAGTGAAGGTCTTTGGTCGACGATAAGGCTCGATCATGTCCCAGAGTTGTGTCCTCTCCCATTTGTTGTACTTGTAATCTGCGTATTTCCTCCATATGTAACTCCACATTTTCACGATGCTCTTGAGACAATCGCCGAGAAATCTGTCGCCTTTGCCTTTTGGTCACTTGTCCATGGCGGCGCGTGAGGGCTCAGAAAAATAGGGGTGGAAAATTTTCTGAAACAGACCCCAAATTCCTAAAAGTTTTCAGTCTGTTCCAAAATTTTTTAAATTTGAAGAATCTAACCTTATAAATGCATTCATGTTCGCAAGTTTGCGCGGCAATCTGTTCAATAGAAATCAAATACAGGCCTTTACTTTGTAAACGGTGAACTTCTGGACCCCATTTCTGAGCCATGGAGTAACAAATACATTAGCTATTTGCCTACTGGGGCAAGCTCCAAAACGGTATTCTCTCACACCAAAAGTATTGAAAATATACAGACTCCAGCCCGAATATTTGCAAGCGAAACTTCTCGATGAATCGAAAAAGCTTATCACTTCAACTAGATCCAGTGAGTTTGGTTGAGATTGCTTGCGCTGACAGAGATTCAAGAGTTAGCTCTCCGGTTTGGGTGGCCGGATCGATGCTGCAACGTTCTGTGCTGTGCAATTCAATGGCATCTTTTATTTTCTGAAACTGGAATGGAACACACAAATTCAAAAGAACAGGAGGTGAGAACTGGCAAAAGAGACAAATCAAGAGCAGTCTATCTATGTCCCGATCCATTCGGGTGTAACATATGGAAGCTAAGTAATGGAAGTAGAAGATTTATCCGATCAGAAGAACAATGAGCAATAAACATCTAAGACTGAAAATTGAAAGTTTCAATCTTTTGTAAGCCACAAAACCAATCTCATTTTGGTCTTCCTAAATCACAAATGGATAAACAGATTATTATTTCTGAAATTTCTCTGTTCATATCAGAAGAAGAACCCGACACAAGATAGTCCTGCTCCAGCTGTTTATAACTAGATACCAGGGTGGAATAACTTGTTTTCAAACCCTAACAGAAACAAAAGCTGAAACGGAATAAAGGGAAAAGGCAATTCACCTTAGCGAGAGAACATGAGAAAGATTCAAGCTGACCATCGGCTCCACGGTAGAAATGGAAATAAGGAAGAACCTTCACGTTCAAACTTTTGCACATTGGCTTGTTCTCATCGAAATTGACTTTAAGGAACAAGATATCAGGATGTTCCACTGCTGTCCTGCAAAGCTGAAAGATTTACACAACAAGACACGAGCCTCCATCTCGTTGTCAGTTTAATTCTTTTTGCTTTATCGGTTTGAGCATTGTTGCAGAGGTAACGATTCTAACAACAGGACACGAGTCACGACTAACCTTTGGGAACAGCGCTCGGCAAGAAGCACACCATGTTCCATAAAACTCTACAATGACTAATCTATCGCCCGCTTGGCTTAAAGCATTCAAGAATTCTTCGGTTGAATGAATGTCAATCATGTTCGGTCCTGCATTCCTCTCCCACCATTTCGGTTGTTCCGTCTCAGCTACAGCCGCATTTACCTAAACGAGAATTAAACAGCAGAAACTTCAAATAATGCCGAAAGTATTATTCTCATTTGAAATAAGAGACAAACGGATTGACATTGTGAGCAAAGTGAATTTTGAAATTCTAGAATCAAAGGGTCAACTAAAGAACATGTACTCACACTTGCTAACTTGTCTGAAACCAAACAATGAACTCTCATGCTACACACATAGGAAGTTACAAGCTTTGAATCAAACAAGTCCTGATTCTCACGTTTCCGAACCCAATTCAGCACGGGAAAGCCCTCTTTTCGCAAGAAAAAAACGTGAAAACCGAAGCGAGAATCAATCGAGATCTCAAAATTGGCTTGCTAAACTCCCAGAAACTATCAATCGACTCATAAGGGTAAGCAGATTTCAACTGAATCTGCAAATCCAGCTCTTAAAGACAAAAATTTACCTTGAAGCGGAGCACATGGTTCCTGGGTCGCGAAAAGCCATAGCTTCCGAGACCGGAGGATGACAGAGAAGACGAAGAAGATGACGCAGAGGAGGAGAGAAGACGCGATTTCTTGTTGAAATTCGGAATTGGAGGCAAAGATGGTTGAAGAGAGGTGAGAGCGTTGGCGAAAGAGGCGAATGACGACGATATGCGAAGTGCCTGAAACGACGTCGTTGATAACCGCGCAACTTCTGCCATAGAAATCGTCACTCTCCGAGAGCTAGCGAGAGCGAGCGAGAGAGAGAGAGAGATCACCTTTCTTCACCTAGAAATCCCTGGAGAAATCCAGGAAGATCAGATTCGCCGGTGAATTTCTGTGAACAAGTAGCAATAATATTTACACATATATGCCTATATATAGAGACGCGTTTGTTTAACAATCTAGCGTTGGCGTCGCATCCACTAGGTTTTGCGTTTTTTCGCAGCGTTTGCGTTTGCACTCGCCGTCAGACACGTTTTCGATTTTGTTACTTGCGTTTAGGAGTACACGTTTTAGTATTGAATTCGAAATTTTAATGGTTCAATTCGAAAACGGTTTATTCGGTATTTTAAAATTTGAACCAAATTAGTATTCTATATTATTCGTTTCGATTTCGGTACGGTTTGGTTTCGATTTTATTAAAAAAATCGATTTTTGGGAATTTTATAAAGTTCGTTCGGTTCGATTCGGTTTCAAAAAATTCGGTTCTATAAAAAAATTATTGTTCAGAAATTTTGACTGATATGATTCAGAAAAAATATCGAGATTTTTTATTCGTTACGGTTCGGTTTCGAAACGTGCACCTATACTTGCGTTGGAGAGTTTGGGTTCAAATGGAAACCGAACAACTTGAATTCCGGAGTGGGAACTAGTGATGGCAAAATGAGTCAGACTCGCGACCTGGCTCGCGGTTGACTCGTTTTTTATCGAGCTGGACTGAAAAAATAAAAGACCAAATAAAAATGGGCCGAATGAGCCAGTTCACGATGAGCCCGAACCCATCCGGGCTAGCTCGGTCGGCTCACGAGCCAGCTCGTGAGGTGATATTAAAAAAATATTAGGATTTTATACTTTAATTTCTTCGCTTTTTCTGTTTATATAGCAAATTAAAATTCATGATATGTTGATGTTGGTATATATTTTTTGTTATATTTTAATGTTGTTGGTGTATTACACTTTTTTTATGTTGGTTAGGTTTTGTTAATTTTTCTTGATTTAGACATAGTTTTATGGATTGTTATGTTAAATATTTTATGTTATATTGTATGATTTCAAAATATTGTTATGTAGACTTTAAATGATTAATTTTTAGGAAAAAAACCCTAAAAATTCCTGAACTTGTATTTTGAATTAATATTAATTCTAAACTTGTAGAGGTGCCTATTAATTCTCAAACTTACAAAATTGAACACATTAAATCCTGAACTTGTTAAACGATTCCATATTCGTCCATAGCATTATTTGGTAAAAAAAACGAGTTGACCGATCCGACGTGGCACGTGACGTGGCGAGCCACGTCACATCAGTCAACTCGTTTTTTTGACCAAATAACGCTGTGGACGAATATGGAATCGTTTAACAAGTTCAGGATTTAACGTGTTCAATTTTGCAAGTTTGGGAACTAATAGGCACCTCTACAAGTTTAGGAATTAATATTACTCCAAAATACAAGTTCAGAAATTT